AGAAGAATTTTCATGTGCCGAAACTGTGTAATGGAACCCAACTGATTGTAACGCAGCTATCGAATACAAGGAGGCAGAATGCTTGATTTTACGAATTGCTTTGAGTTCTAACGATTTGCCAGTTCAAATGTATTCCGTTTCCAGTGAAAATTGCACTGGAGGTGACAATAAACAGAACACATAGATAGTCGAGTTGTTTTCTGTACACCGGAACAGAGACCAAAAAATGTTGTTTATGAAGCTACGTCACATATAAAAAAAAAAAAAATTAAATGATAAATTCAACTTTCTTTTCATTTCAAAACACAAAATTTCCCGCAACACAATGGCTGTGGTCCCAGCTAGTAATATTATAAAGTTATCTCATGCTTACATTCATTAAAAATTTAAAAGAAAAGAGAAACAATAAAGGAAGAATTAAGTTCCAGTGCAACCGAACATGTCAAATTCTTGCAAATGGTCACGATCAGGGCCAGGGAAATAACTTCAGGTGGTAAGATTTGTGAGTTATATGGGGTCTGAAGCATGTTTTCTTCCGATTTTATCTATTTTAGGCACAAATGCACTGTTATTAGAAAAACACGCTCTCATTATTATTAGACAAAGTTCTGAGTTAATATATCTCACAGATTGACCGAAATTTTCGATAAAATGGTCGAAATTTCAACTTTTACATCCGTTGGTGCTTGCTTTGCATTCTGGAAAATTAAATAGTCAAATGGAATTTAAAATTGTGATATATGGGAAGTGCGCATGGTTGTGGTCGGATTTCACTCGTTTTCGTACTGGTACGTAGGAAAGTCAAGATTACATAAGACGTCCCAAAATAAGCACAAGATTGGAATTAAATTCCAAAAATTACAGCAAAATTTAAATTGAATAATATTGGTTGAGTATGTCTTGAGTTGAATGTTTTTACCGAAATGAGGGCAGTGACATGTCCATGATGCAATTTCGACACCAGCTTTTTTAAAACCCTCTAGTATCATTTAGAGAATTACCGAAAATAGCTTTGGTGCAACCAAAAAATAAATTTTGTTTGGTAATTCGTGTACCGATTATACACAAGTGTTGCATTAAATTCTAGTGTATGAATGTTATACGTACTCTTAATTTTCCTAAGATATCTACATAAGTTATTGACAGTCAAAGACTTTATAAAACCAAAAAAAAAGCTTGAAATAATTTTATTGGGGATAAAGGGGCTTGACATGGTATTGACCCGACTTTATTCATTTTTGGAATTACGATATATGTATTATTACCAGAAAAGAAAGCCAAATATTCACTATTAGGCAAAATTAAAAATGGATTATAATAAAATTTTGTATCTAACTTATAATTGGGTCATAAAATAAATTAGTTTCAAATCATATATACATATATTAATGTAGAAAGGGAACACATAAGTGGACTGAAATACTCATAATTACATCCCCGACGAATTGTCCGAACTTAACGAGACAAAAGACCCTAATAGCGCAAACAGCCAAAAACGTAGTCCCGAGGCCCGTGTCAGCTGATAGCAGGAATAGGCAAAAACGCTACACCCTTCCTTCCTTTKCCTTTCTTATAGGGCCAATACACGACACACATGTGCGTTCGATCTATGTGAATTCGTTTCGTCCATACACGACACACAAATCCATTTTGCGTTCTTTCTTCACACAGTGAACATGTGCCACAAGCAGGCGGAACATTTCTTGGAATTTATTTCTAATGTAGCACTTTTATTAATTTCTTTGTATTTCGTTAATAAGTTATTACAACTTTTATTTTTTTCAATTTTATTTTTATATTTATCACTTTTAGCCAAATTGCTAATTATTTTTTTATAAGAACAATAAATTCTGATACGAAATCTTTATTAATGGAGTAACCTGCTTTAGAAGCTCCAAACAATCGATTTAATCTCTTTAAAGAATGTGTAAGAATCTGTCGACAAAGTTATAGATGGGAATTCGAAATATTATTTAAGCTAGAAGGGTAATAGTGACCGAGCGCCAAGCAGATATGTATATGAGCGCTTGGGCAAAAAGCGAAAACTTTAATACCCGATTTCTCGGTTTTTCATTTTTACGATTTTTTTTAATTGGCGACTAAACGTAGTATGGAGTATGGGGCAAAGTTTATTATCTGTGACATTAAAGTATTTTCTATTTAAACTATATTAAATAAACTAAAAAATCAAGTTTCAACATATTTTTAAACATTAAGTAAAATTTCTTTTGGACAAAAACGACTTTTTTAAAATTTTTTTTTTTGGAAATTGCGACCTGCATCCTGCCCTCTGTCCGAAAAATGCACATGCGAGATGTATCGGGCAATTGCTTCCCAACGGCAGAGTATCAAAGGTTTCGTATCCAAAAAAATTGTCAAAGATGTTCAAATATTATTTATAACTATAAAGCCTAAACATTTCACTTGAATCAATTATTTCTTTCCCTCCCAAAGAAATCGATTTTTTGAAGTTCCCCTCTTAACACTTGCCATTGTTCGTTCGCGATCTTGACTGTTCGGCGACATGAGAGAAATGAGATTTTGTGCGCACACACCGGTACGCGCACAAGCCCTTACATGAGTAAACCGCATGCGCACACATACCGATCGAACGCACTTGTGTGTCGTGTATGCCCACTTTTAGCGAGCAAAATGTGTCAAAAGTTGAGCCCGTGGTAAAAACGCAGAAATCAGCCATCTTTGTTTGTTTTCATTTGAACAATGTCGCCATTGCTCAATACACATATATACTTTTGTACACATCTAAGTTTTCAATTACAATTTTTCATAATATAAAATATCAAAACTGAAAACAAACTATTAAAAATAGTTTACATATTTATAAATAAAATCATTACTCTGATTTTGCCAATCCACGGCATTTGGATTCTTGTTGTAGAAACGTGTCAGTTGATTGGCCTCTCACACCCCAGGGTTGCCAACCTTGATATACCGTAGTAATTATAAAAGTTGTCTTCAATATGTTTGAAATTTTCTTAAAATAACTCAAAATCAGAGTATAATGTTATTATTTATAAATATATAAACTATTTTTATACTCTCGCAACAAAGTTGCTAAAGAGAGTATTATGGTTTTGTTCACATAACGGTTGTTTGTAAGTCCTAAAACTAAGAGAGACATATATATATATTGTTATATATACCAAAGTGATCAGGGTGACGAGTAGAGTTGAAATCCGTCTGTCCGTCCGTTCGATCGTCCGTCCGTGCAAGGTGAAACTTGAGTAAAAATTGAGATATCACGATGAAAGTTGGTACACGTATTTCCTGGCTCCATAAGAAGATTATGATCGAAGATGCGCAAAATCGGACCACAGCCACTCCCACAAAATGGCGAAAATCGAAAACCTAAACCGAAGGATCGCATTCGGGAGGTTCATATTTGGACGTAATTTTTTTGGAAAAGCGGGCGTGGCCCCGCCCCCTACTAACTTTTTTGTACATATCTCGAAAACTACTATAGCAATGTCAACCAAACTGTATAGAGTCGTTTCTTTTAGGCATTTCCATATACAGTTCAAAAATGGAAGAAATCGGATAATAAC